AGGAGGCTATTCAATTGATGATAATTTCCCAAAATTCATTAGATCAGGAAAAGTTCCATTACGCTAGAAAAGAACAAATATAATCTCTCTATTCAAGGGAAGAAGGCAGAAAATAGGAGAATATATGCCAGTTAGCTTAACATGTATCATGGGGAAGGTCTCAGAATCGATCATTAAGATTGTAACTGGGTACCTGGAAAAACAATGCATTTGGGAAGTATCTATATAGTTTTGTGAAAGGGAAATTGCGTTAAATCATTTATCGGAATTCTTTGGATTCTGGGGAGTTCATAGACATACTTGGGTTTCCACAGATTTGATAAGGCTTCACATAAAAAGGTTGTTGCACAAACAGAAGCATGGAGAGATGATTCGCTGACTGGTTTAACAAAAATGAATTAACTCAGATTAGCAGTATCTGATAAATGGGGTCCTGCAGGAATCTGTGCTGGGCCTTCAACTTTACAATTAATACAGATGTCTTAAATGAGGGGGATACAAGACTTACTGGCCAATGTCTCAGATGACACCAAATAGGTTGGAAAATATACTGTGAAGATGACCAAGATCCAGACTGATATAGATAAGTTGAGTGAGTAGGCAAAAATCTGGCAGACCAAGTATAATTGAGAAAATGTGAAGTTGTTCACTTTGGCAAAAATAAAATAAGGCAGAGTATTATTTAAACAGAATGACTATAGATTCCAAGGTGCAGAGGAATACAGGTGTTTGAGTGGTACAAGTCATAAAACATTAGCATGTTGGCCTAGCAAAGTGACTAAGAATGCTAACAGATGCTAATCTTTATTAGAAGAGGAATGGAACGTAAAAATATTATCCTTCAGTTATACTGGGGATTGCTGAGACCACATCTCGAATACTGTGCATAATTTTGGTCTCCTTATTTAGTGAAGGATGCAAGTGCGCTTGAGGCAGTTCAGAGGTTAATGGCTTGATATGTGGAATGAGCGAGTTATCTTACAAGGAAAGATCAGAGAAGCTGAGCTTGTTTCCATTGCAGCTTTGAAGAGCAAGGGGTGACATGGTTGAAGTGTAAAGATCCTGAATAATCTTGACAAGGTGGATGTGGAAAGCATGTTTCCTTTTGTGGATTCAGTCCAGAACTAGGAGATACTTTAAAATTAAGGATCTCCCTTCTAGGCAGAGATGAAGGCAATTTATTTTTCTCTCACAGGATTGCGCAACTTGATAACACTTGATTGCACAAGGTAGTGGAGGTGAAGTAATTGAATATCAAGGTGGAGGGAGATCAATTCCCTTTGTTAGACTAGGGAATAAAAGGTCATCATGTTACAGAATCTACACAAACAGATTGGATGTGATCTTATTGAACGGTGCAGCAGGCTCCAAGGGACAAATGGCTTATTTCGGCTGCTATTTCATATGTTCTTATGGCTGTATAATGGAACAAGATTGGAGAAAACTGCTTCCTAATTACCAATGATAGATGCCAAAACAAACAGATTTCAAGGAAAGAAAGTGTGCTGACTCCACAAATATTACTAACCTGACCAAACACAAACCTGACTTTTCAAATCAGGGGAAACTGACTCCTAATCATACTTACACATTCAATAACTATAAACAAAATCAGAAAGCCAGACTTCTAACAAAGTTTCCAGTTAAATTCCTCGGTCTGTCACCACACATGAACAGTTTTATGTAGCTGTTTCCAGAATGTGACATTTTCATTCTGTTAAAGCTGCATTTGGAAATGGTCTTCATATTTTGCTTTGTAGAAGTATTGGGAGAAAAATATAATTAATGCGCAATTTGTTTGCCAATAAACATGGCAGAAGCAGGTTATTCAGCCCACCATCATATCCCCATACCCCCTCCCCCTTTTACCATGGCAAATCCACCTAGCCTGCACATCCTTGGGCACTACAGGCAATTTAGCCAATTCACACTTTTGGTTTGTGGAAGGAAACCAACGCAGACAAAGGGAGAACATGCAAGCTCCACGCAGACAGTTGGCCAAGGCTGGAATTGAGCCTGGGTCTCTGGTGCTGTGAGACAGCGGTAGTAACCGTTGTTCCATCATGCCGCCCTTGGCGGCCATTAATCTGTATAAAACATACTCTATTACAAAGCTTCCACAGTCCCCTGGAGCAGAGAATTCCGAAGATTCACAATGCACAGAGTAAAGAAATTCCTCAGAGATAGTAGGAACTGCAGATGCTGGAGAATCCGAGACAACAAGGTGCAGAGCTGGATGAACACAGCAGGCCAAGCAGCATCATAGGAGCAGAAAGGCTGACGTTTCGGGCCTAGACCCTTCTTCAGAAATTCCTCACGTCAGTTCTAAACAACTTGCTGTTTATTCCGATACTGTTGCATGGTTCTAGATTCCAAGGGAACGTCCGTTCTTTGTCTACTCTGTAGTATGAACAGTGAGTTTCAATGAGCTCACACCTAATTCTTCAAAAGTATTGAAAATACAGGCAGAGTTTCCTCCAATCTCTTCTCACAGGAGTCTCTAGCCACCCGAGTAATTAGTCTGGTGAGCCCTCATTGTACTCTCTCCACGGAAAGCACATCCTTCCTTAGGTAACGGAAAAAACACTGTACAATGCCGAGGCTCAAAGTTCGATATAGTAGAAGTAAAACATTTTTACTCCTCTCCGCAAATTCTCTCACCATAAAAGGCTAACATATTGTTGCTTCTCTGTTCAGGAGCTTATGAACAAGGATGCCAAGTTTCCTTTGGACATCAACTCTTCACAGGCTCTCATCATTGAAGAAATATTCTGCACCTCCCCTTTTCCTTACAAAATTGATAACCTCACACTTATCCACATTTTATTCCATCTGCCATTTCATGCCCATTAATTTAGCATGTTCAAATTCTCGTGAAGTCTCATTGAACCTTCCTCTACACATTCCCACCTAGCTTTGTGTCATCTGCAAACTGGAAATACATTTGTCCTCTTAACCAAATCATTGATTTGAATTTTGAACATGTGGATCCAAACACTGATCGTTGTGGTCACAAACTGCCAATCCCACTTATTCTCACTTTCTACTTTGTTCCCATTAATTAAACCTCAATCCACATCACGATATTACCCCATGCCATACGATCTAATTTTGTTTTTTGTATGGGACCTTACTGGAAACCTTCTAAAACTGAGTACCACATCCATTGATTCATCTTTATGTACGCTACAAATAGTTTTGTAATTTAAAAAAAAAAATCAATTATGCCAAACATGATTTTCCTTTTATGAATCCTCTTAATTCTCTCAAATCACAATTACTTTCTAAGCACAGTTATCACATCCATTAGAATAGACTGTAATATATTCCCTTACCACAGAGGTCACGCTAATAAATCAAAACAGCTCCTCGTTTTCTCACTTCCTCATAACAAACTGGGTTACATTTGCAACATTCCAACCTATCGGCAATTCCAGAATCTATAGAATTTTCAAAAGATAATCAAAGCATGAACTATCTCTATAGCTACCTCTTCTAGCACTAAGGGGTGTAAATCAGGTCTCAGGAATTTGTCAACTTTCAGTTGTAGTGGACCAATTAAACTAATATTCATGTCTTTATGTTCCCCATTCCCACCACTCCCTTGGATCTAAAGTATTTTTGGTAGACTTGTTGCATCTTTCCCCTACGAGAGGCACAAAATATTTAGCTTCTCTACCATTTCCCTTTATGAACTCTACGGTCTCTGTCTGCAATGGACCCACATTTATCTTTTTACATATCTATGGAAACTTTTACACTATGTTTCTTGCCATTTTACATTTATATTCTATTTTCCTTTTACCAGTTTTGTGGTCCTCCTTTGCTGAATTCTAAAATACTCCCAATCACTAGCCTTACTACTTTTTAAAGTAAGTTTTCGAAGCCTCCTCTTTTTATCTAACACAATCTGTAACTTCCTTTGTTAGCCATAATAAATTAATTTTCGTGTTGGGTTTTATCTTAAAACAATGTATATTTATTCTAAACCATATATTCATTCCTCACCCTGTCTATTTGCCTGTCACTATATAGTTCCCTTTTTTAGATTCAAGATCCTGACTTCAGATAGATTATATTGTTTACAAATGTAACTGGAAATTTCCATCACATGATCATTCACTGCATAAACTTTCTAAATAACAAGTTTATTAATTAACCCCTTTTCAGTGCATAATATTAGATCTAGAATAGTCGGTTCTCCCATTGGTTCCTCAACATACTGCTCTGGAAACCATCTTGGACACATTCCAAGGATCCATCCTCCACAGCATTGGTGTTCATTAGGCTTACCCAGTCTAGTGTATGCTTTGGTTATGGGGACAAATATATTTCCAGTTTGCAGATGACACAAAGCTGTGTGGGAATGTGTAGAGAAAGGTTCAATGAGACTCCAAGGGAATTTGAACAGAATGGAGTCACCCATGATTAATGAATTACTCTGGTTACATGCACCTTAAGTTTTTAACTGGTGTTTGGTGGTCTAAAACAACTCCTGTCAATGTTTTTGCCCTTGTTGTTTTTTAGTTCCAGCCAAATAGATTGCAATTTGTTATTGTCTTGTTATTGCAATTCAAGATCCTCTCCGATATATTGACCCTATCCTTCATCAGCACTATCCCACCTCCTTTTCATTTTTTCTGTCTACCTAAATGATAAACATTTGGTTCCCAGCCCTGCAAATGTATCATAGTCACATACTTCTACTTGTGCTATCAATTCATTTACTTTCTCCAGAATGCAACCGACATTCAGACAGAGCACCTTTAATTCACAGCCTTTTTAAACATTATTCTGTATTTTCACACTTTGATTTTTGGCATTTGTTTCTGTGGCCTTCCACTTTCATTTACTACCTCTTCATCTACCATAACCAGCTTTTGTTTCTCACTTAATCGAATACTTCCTCAAGCTCCCATCTGCCAGAAAAGTTAGTTTAAATTCTCCTTGCGAGCTTTTAATACTTCAACTGATTTAATTTACACTAAACAAAAACATACCTTCCCAAAACATCCTTGCAGTTAGGACAAGTACATGCTACTCGACGGAGTCGTTTCCCTGGTTGATACTGCTGATCATTGCCTTCCTCACCCAGGTTCACAGACACTTGTGCTAAATCACTGGAACCAAGGACGGTTGTAGTTCCCACATTAGTGACTGTAGAAGGTTGTGATGCTAACTGCCAGGATTCCGAATCATCCTCTTCTTCTTTTATATGTACACCTAGAATCAGTAAGAGCATATTCAATTTTCACTTCAAACCACAAGACTACTTAACCCTTTCCAACATTGTGCCACAATATACAGTAAAAGACTAAAATGCAACTATAAAGAATGCATTATGACTTAGTTTAGGGAATAATATTCAAAGTATTTTCAAAATCTGGTGTTTTTATAGTATATTAATTTTCTTAACAATGGCAAGCAATGCCATAAAATAAAGAAGCATCAAGTTTCAGAAAGAAACTAATTTTCTTATTGTAAATATGTAATCAAGACTTATGGAGAACTTGTGTAAATTCTTCTTACCCTGTAATCTTCAGTGTTTTCAAAATAACCACTGCATTCAGAAAAATGGTCAATTCAAGTTGAAATCTTGGAACATTAAGTATAGCCTCAATACATTCACAGTCGTAGCCAAGTAACTTAGTGCATACACGAGCACATAGTAACAAATCTTAAAGTATGAATTGCCAAAAGGCTAGGAGATTGTGGGAACTCAAAACAAGGATATGTGCATTGATACTACCCATCTAATACAAAACAAAACTATTGCATTACGGAAACAATTCTTTTAAACATATTCGCATTCCGAAGTTATTGATTATACCATAGTAAAATAAATTGATAGCTTGGCTATTTTCCTTTAATACATATTTGTAAGCTTAACTGGTAGCACATCATTGCCATTTATTTCAGGAGTCAGATTTCACTACACAGGTTTATAGAGAAAACTGAAGGGCTACTGGAAATGACCACTTCCAACAACTTTCTGCCAAACATATGGGATCTTGATAACGAACCAAAGTTTTAAAGGACCTTCAGCAACATGGGATAGTTTTGCTCTTTGTAAAGAAAATGAACCAAATCATAATGCAGTAGAGGTCTCAAAAGCAGAAAGAAGGAGCTCCATTCCTATTGCTGTGGTTGCTGTTTGTAGGTCAAAATGGGTCATTCAATAGCAAAGCTGTAAACAAAGGAGTTTGCACACCTTGTGCATGAATGCACAGTTAGCCTAAAATTTTACAGGATATACTGCAAAGATAAACACAAGAATACGGGAACAGCAGCATAGAAGTAGGCCCATTCAGCCCCTTAAGCTTACTCTGCCTTTCTAGATCAAGGCTTATCAGCTACCTCAAATGCCATTTTCCCACTCTGTTCCAAGATCCCTTCATGTTATTAGCATCTAGAAACTTATCAGTCTCAGTCATTTATAAATTCATGACAGAGTTTGCACAGCCCTATACAGGGGAGAATTTCACTGATGAAGTTCCTCTTCATTTCAGTATTAAATGCTTTATTCTCAAACTGTGCCTAACTCTAGGCCGCCAAAGGAAACATCCTTTTTGCATCTATTCTGTCTAACCCTGTCAGAATATTATACATTTCTATAAGACTGTCTCATTTTTCTACACTCAAATGTACCGGCATAGTCCACATTCTCTCCAAGCTATGCTAATAACTATTTCATTCCTTAGGCAAGGGGAACCAGACTGCACGTAATATACCATGCGTGGTCTCAAAAGTAAGCAAGTCTTCTTTGGTCCTGCGCAAAGATTCACAATACTCAAAACTAAACTAGGTAACCCATTCAAACTAGAACTTGGAGTAACAAACATAATGCACGATTACTTTCGAAATTAGTTGGCCATGGATACAATGCAACACACCCAAGGATCTTGATAAGTTTTTGAAGCGTCATAAAGGAGGCAGGCTGGATGAAGAACAGCAAAGCTATTAACCACTACTAGCACTGAATAATCTTGATTAAACAGCCTTGATTTATGAAAATCAATTGTAAAATGAAGTAACGCGATTAGCAAAAAAGTTATCAAATGTTGAATCCAGAGATAAATAAAAAAACAGATTATTTCAGAACATAGATTAAATTCAGTCCTGATTATTGCAAATTGAACAAAAAAAGCCCCAAAAGTGGCTTCAAATTCGTGGCACAAAATTAATCTGCAATCAGGTAAAATAAATGCTCTTCCTGACAGGAAATTCTAAAGTGAGCCTTAGAGAGAAATTTCATTTCCAACCAAAGTAGAGATACATAAACAATGTGACTCCCCACATAAAACGCAAGTGTAGCTGCACTTTCCAAATGCAAATGATCAAACAACAGTCTCCTAAACTGTGCTCAGTCTCCCAACACACAATTAGTTGGCTTCATTAAATTCAAGCAGAGACCATCCTGTACAGTCCATCCCAAAGCAGTAAATAGTTTGCCAGAAACAAAACCTGTAAGTCGTCACAAAAATGTTTTATGTCAAGTCACATTTTTCCTTACATCCACTACGGAGAAACCAAGATTAGGCATAACCTGAGCTGGCAGCCAAATGTGGCTGCCTAACTTATGTCAATCTATCCTCCATGTTTCAACACTGACAGAGTAGCATCTGCAAATACCCATCAATGGCAATGATGTCTGCAGATCAAGTTGCATGTTTTGTCCCCATTTTCAGGGGATCAAGGCAATGAACTGAGGTATTCAACAAGAGGTCCCAGATATGAACTCAAGTTACACCAAGAAATGCTTTAAAATCAGTCACTTGAACAATGGAAGCCTGGATGAGAGAAACTGATTCCTAGCGACAATCTGAGATTGCACAATGTTCAGCACCATTCCATGGAATTCGCTACCCCAAAGTTCAGTGGATGCTGGGACAGTAAGTAAATTTAAAGAGAATTTAGACAGATTTTTAATTGATAATTGATTGAAGGGTTATGGACAGAAGGCAGGAAAATAGGAGTGAGGAGCATATCAGCCACGACTGAATGGAGGAGCAGACTTCGATGGGCCGACTGGCCTAATTCTGCCCCTATATCTTATGAACTATTCTTGTCTCTTCAGATACTGAAGTAGTCAGTGTCCAGACACAACAAAACCTGGACATCAGATAAATGTATATATGTAACAAGAATATATGCATCATACAGATGTCAGGAAAAGACCGTCTTCAACAAGAGAGAATGCAGCCACTGCCCCTTGGCATTCAGTGACATTAATACTGCTTATATTCCCCATCAACATTTTGGGGAACACTACTGGCCAGAAACTGACTGGATCTCCTGTATTAATACTGCAACTACAAGAACAGGTCAGAGGATAGGAATTCTGCACCCAGTAACTTACCTCTCATTTCCCTTCTACAAGGCCCAATTGGGAAATGCGATGAGATATTTGCCAGTCAGGATGGCTGAAGCCTTTTCTGTTGTCAGAGCTAAACAGTATCCAAGACAAAGCAGCTGCCTTGATTGGCAACTCAGCCAATACCTTTAAATTCATTCCCTTCAGCACCCATGTAGTGTGTACAACCTGCAACATGGAATTCAGCAACTCAAATATTCTTCAACAGCACTTTCCAAACACGTCTCTGCCATCTGAAGTAAAAGATACAAGGGAACACCACCACAAATCCAAGTTCCACACTCCATTCACATACTAGCCCAAATTTGAACAGTGTCACCGTTCTTCAGTCACTGTCAAAATCTTAGAACTCCTCTCCGAATAGTGAGGACTGTAGTAGTTTAAAAACGGCAGCTCATCACCACTCTCTGAAAAGCAACTAGGAATGTGCAATACCCATATCCCATGAAAAATTAAGCCAAACATGACAACAAGCATTCACATGGTACACAATGACTTAACTGTGCATACAACACCCCCATAAACTGTTCTCAAACTGATCTCACTTGAGACAGTGAGCCCAACCCTCACTGAACACAAGTAGTAGCTCTCCCGACGACAGCAGTGATCACTGAAATACCATTTAACAAGCGGAGATCATCCAAAGAAATTAACCCATCTTAAAAGCACCATCAAATGCTCATGGTCCACCAAGGGTTTGGAATTCCTGTACCTACCAACCAACACTCAGCTAAAAATCCCCAAAACTGCAAAGACAAACAGCCAGGAACAAAACCCACTTGGTTTGAGAAATGGGTTTAAATCTTGAAACTATTAAAATAACACGCAATGCCATTACAGCTCACAAAAAATTTGACATAATATAGAATAAAATAAATCGAACAACAGTAAGGTAAAATTTTGAGAGTCCACATCAGGGTATTGGGAAGAACTCCTAGTCATAGAAACTTAGAAATACAAGTAGGAGTAGGCTATTCAGCCCTTTGAACTAGCTCTGTCAATCAATAGGAGCTGGCTGATCATTCAACTCAATACCTTGTTCCCAAATTCTCTCCATACCTTTTGTTCCATTCAGTCCAAAGAACTATACCCAACTCTTCCTTAAAAACATTCAATGTTTGGTCTCAACTGCTTTCTCTGGCAGAAAGTTCCACAGGCTCACCACTCTCAGTGAAGAAGTTTCTCATCTCAGCCCTAAATAGTCAACCCTGTATCAACTATAATTCTGGATTTCTCAGTCATCAGGAACATCCTACTAGCATTTACCCTCTCTAGTCTTGTTAGAATTTATATTTCCATGATACCCCCTGTCATTCTTCTAAACAATGAATACAGTCCTAACCAATCCAGTCTCTCTTCATATGTGAGTCCTACCATCTTAGGAATCAGCCTGGTAAAACTTCATTTCACTTCACCTATAACCAGATTAGATGACCAAAGGTAAAATCCTTCCTCAGATATGGAGTCCAAAACTACACACAATGTTCCAAATCTATCTCACCAAGGCCTTGTACAATTGCAGCGAGATATTATTGGATTCTTCAGGGGTCTGACAGAGTAAATGCTGACAGGATGTTTTCCCTCAACGGCAGAGCCTAGAAACAGAATGCATAATCTCAGAATAAAGGGGTACAATTTAAGACTGAGATGAGGAGGAATTTCTTCTGAGGGTTTAGCATCTTTGGAACTGTGCCACTGAGAGCTGAGAGGGCACAGTTTTTGTGTACATATATAAAACGCTAAGATAGATTCTTGATCAATATGGGAATACAGGGTTATGGGAAAATGCAGGAAAGTGGACGTGAGGAATGTCGGATCAGCTATGAACTTACTAAGCAGCAGAGCAGAC